AAGAAAAATTTCTTTTAAAAAGAAGTAAACTAAATTTTATTTGTCCACAATTAACTATATTTTTAAAATTAATTTAACATGACATTAGATATTAGAGTTTAACATTAAATGACTCTATTTATGTTTGTAAATATTATGGTAAATTTTGGTAAAAGTATTTAATAATGAAGATCAATTCTAAAGTTTAAGATATTTGGTACGAAAGGATAAGACTATGTTTTTCTATTTAAAGTAAAGAAAATTGTATTTTTAAAGTATTGAGAATCTTAGAGTGTCATGTAAGAAGAAAAGAATGAGACTTTGTGAAAAATCATCAAAACTAATATGAATTTATAAAGTGTAGAAAGGTAAATGGTTTTAACTATAAGAAGAGGATAGTGAAGTTCAAAATTATTAAATGTTGTCCAGATATAGTAATCCTCACTTAAAAAAGAAAAAAAAAATAAGGGATTGAAAAGATCCTGAATATAAAAAAAAGAATAAAAAAGGAATAAAAAAATGTGAGGAGAAGCTTGAGGAGATGCCTAATAAAAAATTGGCTTCACTTGAATCAACTTAAGAAAAAGACTTTATTACATTTTATAAACATGTATTTGAGTATTAGCACCCTAAATAGTAAAGTTGTTATGAAATTCTTTTTCATATGAATATTCTAAGTATTCTTGATATAACAAATTACAGTTCTTCTTAAAATGAATGGAGATTCAAAAATCTTAAATAATAATAGTTTTAATCTATGTTATTAAATTCTTTTCTTAAATTATACTATTTTATTTATTAAACTTAAATATAGAAGTTTAAAATTTAATCTATATCCTAAGTTATATTTTTATGTAGGAAAAGAGTTACTTTAGGATAAGTAACGTTTAAGTTTGGGGGATTTTGACAAACCTAAAAATTATCTACTTTTTCATATATATTTTATGCTCAATTTTAATGATTTTTAATGATATTACACTTTAAAGGAAGGTATTTTGCATATTTTTGGATTTTAGGTACAAGAAATGAACTTTTGGGGAAAATAAAGCAAAAAAAGCTGTAATTTGGAGTAACAACGAGCAAGAAAAAAAATTCTGACTTGGCACATTTTGATATGTCTTTCTATGCTTAATCTACTTTACATTTTTCACATGTATTTGAATGAAATTACACTTTAAAGAAATGTTGTTTTCATGCTTATTTTATAGGTATATCTGTTAGGAGCGAAACACAATTGAAACGAGGCGAAACGGAGTTAAATGAAGCAAAATGGTGGAGCTGCTGCAGAGTGGCGCATGATGCGCCAAACTGGCACCAGATGCACCAAAAATCAGAGAACTGGCGCATGATGCGCCATAGATGACTTTAGCGGATTAAGGCGGTTTGGAACGAATTTTGCATAAATTTTTAAAGGGACATTTGTTTTAAACACAAATTGGAGTGATTCAATGCATCTAGACACTTTGGAGGGTTCTTATGAAGGGATATGTCTCTTGGATCAATGGATATGCCTTTTAAATTCAAAAGAGTTGATTTTTGGATAGAATTTTTGGAGAGAATTTTGAATTCTTTTTGAAGGGAAGTAGTCTTTTATAAAAGAGAGGGAAGTTTAGGGCTTGAAGAGGAGTTTTAGGCATGTGTGTGTGTGTGAGAGAGAGAGAGAGAGAGAGAGAGAGAGAGCGTGTGGTGTGTGTGTGGCGTGACAGTTAGAAAAAGAAGAAAGCAAGAGAGAGAGAGAGAGAGACAAGTCAAGGGCTTGAAGATTTTCTTCAAGGATCGTAAGAGGAAAGGGAAGGTGAGAGATTTCTTCTTCATTACACTTCAAAGAGAGAATTGAGAGTACTTGTAATGAGAGAAAGGTTTGAAGAGAACTTCTAGAGATTTGTTTGGGAAGGAATGTGAGATAAGTTGTGTCTTTTATTTCTTTTGCTTTGTAAACTTATTTTTATATATGAAATCTGTGTTTTGCTGTATCATTCTCATGAATTATGAGTAGTCTTCTTTATTCTTCACCCTACTTTAAGATATGGTTTTGTGAAGAATTGATTTTTCTTATATGGTTTTAAATGTCAATAATTTGTGATGATTTGAACTCCGATCTTTATTTACTTTTCAATCTAGTCAATTGAAATGTTAAAATATGTTGAGAAACATACATTCCGAAAGGGTTATGATTTCTACAAAATGAGGAGAATCACAATTGATTTCATGGAAGAGTATATCATCTATGGTGTTGGGTGAAAATAAATAGGGAAATATACTTTGTTGGATGCAGAATTGGAGATTTTAAGATGACAGATTAAAATTCCCAATTTGGTCCAGCTGATTGGAAACTAATACGAGATTGTTAGCTCTCAGGTGAGGGAGTAGTGAGACCTCTGGAGTGGTACCTGATATCCTCCCAGCCTAACTACAAAATTAGAGACTAAACTCTAAATTAATCAATGTTTTTTATGCACTTGGAAGATGGTAAAGAATAGGATCCTCTGGAGTGGTAGCTGATATCCTCCCAGTCTAACCACAAAATTAGAGACTAAACTCTAAATTAATCAATATTTTTTATGCACTTGGAAGATGGTAAAGAATAGGATTGCTCCTATTTGGCACAAAATAATTTTATATATTTTCAAATGATTTTAATTTCTTCACAATAAATATACTCATTGTAAAGGCGAAGGATGTTTTCTTAAATTTGAACTCTTCGTCACAACACTTTATTTAGCCTTTGTAAATTTAACTTTGAAGTTTAGAAATTAGTTTAATAAACTTAGTCCTTTTAGTTACATTTCTTTTAGCATTCATTAAACCCATTTTAAATTATCTTTCTTACTTTAATTTTTATAGTTTAAATATTGTGATTTATGTTACTATCATAAGAATTTCCATCTTCCAAACTAAGACTTGATAATAGTATAATAGAAGTAGCATAAAGGATTTCTTACTGCGCTTCTCTGTGGGATCGATACTGGGGTTTTTAAAGAAAGCCCGATATTACTTGAAGCAATAAGTGCACGTGCGTAGAACTCCTAATGTGTGAACTATTTTATATATGTTATATAACATTTCAATTTTGCATATTAAACACTTAATATAAATTGGGTCAAAATTTTGGTCATATTTTTTAAAGCTAAATTACTGCATAATTAAAGCTAAATTACTGCGCGTAATTTTGAGACGGGTCAAGTTTTTTGCACTGTTTCAGGGGATTTAAATTGACATAAAACATGCAGGAAAACATCACACGCTAGGGGCGCATCATATACCTCCAGTCTCATGGTTTTTCTTACACTAAAGAAACTTCTTTTATAAATTCTAGTTCGTTTAAAATTAGATCTTCTAATCAAACTTTTTCCTTAGCTTCTCAAAAGTTCATTTTATAGAGTGCTTATAGTTTCTCATTAAAGTTACATGAATCAACTCTTCTACAACAAAAATGCTTATGTTGAAAATTTAATATGACTTGCTATGACTTTTAATATTTATGAAATATTCCTTTATCAAATTAAGAATCAAATTTGGTTAGAATTCCTTCTCTGTAATTCATTAAGTTACAAGTAAATCAAAATTCTCAAAATGTGACACATTAGGCTTATTCGCATTTAACAAATTCATAAGGGGTCTTCCTAAGTAAGAGTTTAATTTGTTTGGTTTAACAAACTACCTCAACCTACAAATGCTTTGTTAATTGATATTTATTGAACATAATTCTAACCATTGACATTAGAGTTTTATTATTTGTCTATTCTACCTTTTTTTATAGGGGCATCGTGGGTGTTGAAATTTTTTTTTAAGTTCTACGTCTTTCTAAAACATTTTAAATTATTCATTTTCAAACTCCCCAATGAGGTCACTTTTAATGTTTAATAAGGAAAGTATTTTATCTTCTTAGATTCATTTTACTAACTTTACGAAATCTATCATTGCATTGCTCTTATTGGCTAGACATAATACTAATGTGAATTTAAGATAGTCGTCGACTATAAAGTACTTATATTTCTTCCTTTTCAAACTTTTAGAAACTATAGGTGAAAAAAAATTCTTATGTAGTAACTCTAAGTTCTAGATATGTTCTTTAGCCTATCAACTATTTTGACTTTTTCAAAGCCATAGGAGCCAAAGTCAAGGATGTTGGCCTAAGACTATTTTCTTTTAGATATTTTCCCAAGTGATACAAATTGCTATCTCTTGCTTTCAGTGAAGCGAACAATGTCGATCTCCCATCTTAGGCCTCAAACATTCATTGTTCAAGTGTCCTTATTTAGTCCTAGAGTGAAGGCATGCTTATATAATGGTTCACATGTTAAATTTAAAAACCAATTTGTTTTTATATATTTTTGTGGATAAAGAAATAACAAGAATATTTGGAGAATTATGAGTTATATAAAGCATATAAAATAGAAAATTTTAAATGATTCTCCTTACTTTAAGTGCATCAAAATTCCAAAACATTTTATTTCAATTACCTAGAAATTTAAAAGGATTTTTACAGAAGAGCTCTAAAAACATCTGAGGTTTTTTTAAAAATATTTTGCATATTTTCAAGTGAATTAAACTTTAGGGATAAATAACATGCATAATGCTCAAAATTTTGATATTTTCAAAACTAATACGTGACTATTTTTTGAACTGCTGAATTGGTGCATTTACACATGTCATAATTAAATTATTAAGAATTCAAAAAAAAATTAAAAAGATAAGTTAGGATTTTATTATAAATTTTGATATTTGAGAGAGAATTTGAAAATTGAAAAATTGGACGCAAGAGAATGTAGTTTTGTAATTAATAAAATTTGGATCGCGCGTGGCGTGATTTTATTTGCTATGCACGATATTTCTAGATGCGTAGTACTATGTAATATTTTTTGCCATCAAAGAGCTGGAGAGACCTCATAGGCCCTAGCCCTACGGCCTCTTGGATTTCGACTCTTACAAAACAAAGAGTGCTAAGTGCCCCTAAAAATTAAGTACTTCTAATCGCTCGAATCCTAAACTGTCAATCAAAGGAAAAAAGCTGCAGAGACCTCATAGGCCCTAGCGCTACGGCCTCTTGGATTTCGACTCTTACAAAACAAAACCCACTTAAAACCTCTCCTTCGCTCCTGAGAAGGCAAGATGAAAGCCATCAGAGTTACTAGGCTCTTGATCTCCTCCCCTGCCCTCTCCTCCGCCGCGTCGCGCCTCCACATCAATCCCATTTCTCTATCCTACTGCACCAGTTTTCCCGACAAGGCCTCCTCCTTCTCTGAGGACAAAGCCGAGCCGGACTTTGATAGCAAGGAATTCTCTATTCCCTTTTCTTCCTCCACCGCCACCGCTACGCACTCTTCTTTTGTGGGAAAGAAGAAGAAGCGCCAAATCTGGACTGATAAATATCGGGCGAAAGCCGATCAGATCCTCTTCGGCGAAGCAAAACCATCTTGCTCGCAGTTTGAGGAAGAGGATGACGAGGAGAAAGAAAGGGCGAAGATGCTCGCAAAGGCCCTTCTTCAGGCGGCGTTGCTAGCGCCGGACGATGCGGACGATGAAAATATGATAGTTAAGTTGGAGGACCAGAAATCGCTCTCTGTTGGGATCGTTGGTGCTCCTAATGCTGGGAAGTCCTCCCTTACCAATTCGATGGCATGTACCTCCTAATTTTGCATGCAACTTTATTTCAGTATTCAAGATTTTAGATGCAAGCGAAGTTATACATTCTGATGTATTTTCTTTGTGCAATGTCATTTTATGGAGCGCATTATTCGGATTTTGGATCAAACTACGGTTTTATGCAGTTCGTATTCGTTGGTTCGTGCATTATCGAAATAACCTGTCCTTTTTCTTAACATTTTCTAATAATTAAGATTACTTTTGTGAGTTTGTACAGACGAAGGTAATGCATTCTTATCAGTTGATTCGTTCATATCTATGGCCACAACTCGGTTACGCTTATCCTGTTTATGCTAAAGCTAGCGTGCTTCAGCTTATTCTTTGTTGCACCTGCTTTTTTTTCTCTGTCTCTTTTTGTTCTAAAGGAATGGAAAGAGAGGAATTGTAAAGGGATGGAAATAAAGATGGTATAGAAGTTGAATTTGTTTAGTTTTCAGTCATTTGTTTTGTTAAGGTGTATTTTAATAATTATGCATGAGAAATTGATTTTTTCTTTCTTTAATTGCAAAGAGATGACATCCAAGTCACCATGATAATATGATAAATTATCTTCCCATTTCTCACTAGAGTTGGATAGGGAATTGTCAATGAGAAAAATTATATGCTCATTTTTCCTAAGGAAAATCTAATTGTCTATTTATTACATTAGAAACAAACACCTAGAGGAAGATTGTGAAATAGAATTTATTTGCATTCCTAGTTGTTCTCTCAAACCAAGCCTACCCTTAGTTGTTGTGTGTAGTTTATTCACATATTGTGCTCAACTTCTTAGTGTTCATTCGATATTTATAATTTTATTGCCAACTTGCCAACACTTGTTAACCATCCTGGACTTGTTGATAACAAAACAAAAATATCAACTTCTTATTGTTCATTTGATATTTATAATTTTATTGCCAACTTGTTAGCACTTGTTAAACCATGCTGGACTTGCTGATAACAAAACAAAAATATTAACCATAATTAGGGCACTCAAATGGATTATCCATCTCTTGATGGGTTACCGTGCTTCAAATGATGCTTTAGGGCCCACATATTTTTTTATTTTACTTTGTTTGTGGTTATAAACACTCTTTTATTATTATTTAATATTATTATACCTTGCCTTATATATTGTGTAGGTTGGGACAAAAATTGCTGCTGTCTCGAGAAAGACCAACACTACCACTCATGAGGTTTTAGGAGTGATGACAAAAGGAAATACACAAATAGTATGCGCCTTATTTTTTTTTTTTCCTCCCATTGGACTTGAAATAAAGAAGTGCTTCTTTCTTCCTCCTTGGTTGCACTCTTCGCTTTAGCATGATTTATACCTGATCATGTAATTCAATAGAGTACATAATCAGGTATAAATCATGCTAAAGCAAAGAGTGCAGCCAACCCCACTTAGTGGGATAAAGGATTGTTGTTGTTGTTTTTGTTTTATGTAATTCAATAGAGCATTCAATCTCTATTCTTAAATAATTTTTTTTAAATTGAATTCTTCAAATAATTTGTTCTTTAAGCATAAAAAGTAATAGATTATTATTTTTGTTGTGGTTTAGGATTGAGCTTTTGAAACTTTGTTTCTCTTAGCTCTTTAGACATCATTCATTTTTTTTAGATGTTGTTCCTCATGGACTCTAAAATACTCACTCAAGTTTTGAATGAGTTGTGACTTTGGTTAATTTTTAGTGGACAAAACATAAAATAAAGATGTTGCCCACTTATGAGGATTTTATATTTCTGGTTTGAGGCTTTATATAGACTCAACCCAATCATTAATGATCTCATTCAATCACTCAATAATACTTTCGATTAATGATAGCCTATAAGCCTTATAAATGTTTGATGTGATAGCTTCATGGAAGGTCTAACCTATTTTATTGGTTTAAGAAGAGGCAATATTGCCATACGCAGGTTTGAAGGAGATGTTAGGGAAATAATCTATTTTGGTTGACTTAATCATAGGAGGCAATCGAGCCAAAATGGATGGATGATCTTTAATAACCATGGTTTGCTTCGTCTAAAGTACCATATGGATTAAGGAAAAGCTTGCTAAAGGGAGAATTTCATAGTCAACCTCAACTGATTCAGGGCTTCATGCTCTAATATATACCTTGTGCCATGCAGAAATTATAGAATTTATCATTGGGTAACATCTCGACTTCATTTAGTCACCATGTTTTAGTAGCATAGTTTAGTAATATTCACTCAACTTGGAGGGGAATTGTCATATTTTTATTGGTATGAGGCTTTGAATGTGATCATATTTATACACTTAATTTGCTATTAGTTTTTTTATGAGCTTTAGTCAGATTTGAATGTCACACGCACTAAATTTGAGGTGGAGGGCAAATGCTCAAAGATAAGCTAATCACGGGTTTGACTTGTATGCTTTTGATTTTTTTCATACTCATATTTTCTTGTAGGAGTGATTGAATTTTAGTGGCTTGACATTGGATGCAAGATATCTTTTTGGTAGAGATTTGAATTAAGTACAACCATCATAAAAAATGTAGGTGTTTAATGTGTGGGGACCCTAGCCAAGGTGTCTAGGGATTATTTTTGTGCTTTAAAGAGAGAAATGATTGTGAATATCTCTTTGATTATAATGATTTTGATTTTAACCATCATTATAAAGTTAGCTGAAAAAGGGAGAACTTATTGGTGGATCCTTGTGGTTATGCTCTTTGACAATCATACCCATTATGGGGAGTAGGCTACCCTAGCATATTGGCTTTGAAGTTAGGGAGTGTTGATGGTACTGGTAACCTTTTCATTTTTGATCTTTAGTAACTGCACCCTTAATTAGATTGAAGGAAACTTAGTCAAACTTGGTGCCTATTTTGTTTGATGTCTTAGGTTCAAGAATAGCTTTACAAACCTAAAGCTATTCTTGCTTATGACCATGATTCTTTGAATCCGAGCACTCGAGGATTATGAAGATGGTGATCCCTTGATTATAATCTTTTGATTATCATGTCAGCCATTGAGGGAGGAGCGGTAAAATATTTGTTCAACTCAAATCGGGAATTTTATTATTAATGGGCCCCTTTGTTTGTTATTCTTAGGGTCTGTTTGGGGCAGTTGCAACTTATCCAGCTTCTGCTGATAAACAGCTGATTCTGATAATCTGCTGATGAGCAGCTGATCCAAATAAGTTGGCTGACTGTTTGGTTTGTGTGTTTGGAAAACAACTGATTTGCAGCTGTTTCTGGATAAATGACCATTTTGCCCTTGAACTGAATAAACTGTTACATTATTTGGTTTCTGCGGTTTGAGAACAGCTGATTTGCAGCTGTTTGTGGAAAAATGACCATTTTGGTCACGTAAAGTGGAGCTGTTCGTAACAGTAATATAATGGAACACATTTAATATACTAAAATTCAAAAAACACTACATAACAGTTCAAAGAAAAAAAAAGATATACTCCCCGCTCAAGGGAGCCTATCTACAAACCTATTAACAGTAAAGCTACACATCGATAATTCTTAAGACTAGTGAAAATATGTATTCAATGTACCATATGAAGAGCAGGAAAATCAAATATGTTAACTATAAGTAATTTTAGTCAAAAAAATTATGAAACAAGTCATATTAACAAAATAGAGTGTTGTATATGCAGGAAGTGAGCACCTACACTATTATTGCTCCAACTTGCACTCAGTGGAGAGAATTTGAACAAACTTAAAAATTAAGGGAAATTTACATATGTAGCACACAATTCATAAGTATTTACATATCTCACACCTAAACTTCTAGGAGGAAGTTGAAATGGGGAAAGATTACAAGAATGTTCTTTATTCCAAAGAAATGGAGAGGTGCTTGCTTGGTAGAGAGGGATCCGAGCAAATGGGGGAGTAGGGAGAAGCGGCTAGGGCAGACGAGCAAACTCGAGCGGAAGATGGAGCTCGGCGCAGCCAGGGCAGGACGCGAATTGGAGCGGAAGAGGGAGCTCGGCGCAGCTAGGGCAGACGTGATCGAAGGGCGAAAGAAGGAGATCGGCGTAGCTTGGGCAGGAAGCTATCGAATGGAGCGAGAGTAGGGATGACGCGGGAATGTTTCGCAAGGGAAGAGGCGTAAAAGCTCGGAGGCGCAACGCGGATCGCTGGGATAGACCTGTGGGATAGACCTGCGGTCCGCGTGTAATGTAAAATAGGAACTCCGTTTATGAAAACACGACTTAAACATGCGAAATAAACGGTGTGGCGGCGTTTTCAAAAATGCCGCCGCACTTATAAGCTGCCCCAAACGGGCCCTTAATAATTATATCCATCATCTATGCGAGGAGGTGTCCATTAAGTACTTTGCTTAATTTGAGTGGAGAAAATTGATAGCACATGCAGTATTGGAAATCACTCTAGTTTTTGATTTGTGATGATCGAACACATCATTGTGAGGATACCTTTTAAGTATTTCTCTTTGTTATTGGGGGCTAGATTTTAATATTAACCCCTTCATTTATATTATTTTGATAATTTTGCTCATCTTTGAAGTTGGAATGTTTTTGCTTGTTGATGTCAGATTTATGCATATGTTTTAATACTTTTTTTTCTCTTATAAGTTATAGAATCCAACCTCAAAGAGTTGGTTTAACCATCTTAATTTTCATGGAAAGAAAAACAAAAGTTATTAAATTTTTTTCATGCTTTAATTTGTTGTTTTTATCATGTTAGTGCACTAAGTGATGTGGTGTTGACCTTGTTTCATCGTAGTCACTTAACATTTCTTGCTGTTTTTTTTTCTGGCATTGGTGTAGTACCAATTGCATGACTAAAGATGATTTGAAAACCCCAACTTGTATTTTTTGATTAATTGTGACCAAATAGGTGCAGGCTTGGTCCTTGGCAAAATAGATAACTTCGGTTGGGTACAAACAAGGTTTTGCTTTGCTTGTTTTTGGCCAAAAGTCACGCGAACTCTATCCCTTGTTTGCAGAGGATCACATTTAAATAGACCCTTCTTTTTTCCCCAATGTTTTGTAATTTAAACTCAATTCTTATATTTCAATTTTTTTTTGGGTAGTAATATATTTTTCCTTGGATGAAACATGCTATTGTGTAATTAAAAAATAGTGCTTAGAACGTTAGGGCCAATAAAAACAAGTACAATTTGTCTTTAAGTTATTAAAATTATCTTTTTTTTTTTATTTCCGAATTCCTATTTTGTATTTTTTTTTGGGCTCTTTTTTTCTTTTTCATGCTTTTAAAATTTTTTCTTTTATTTCTCCTTTTGTTGTGCTTTAAAAAAACTTAGATTTCTCATTTTAAACTTCAATATGATTAAGGTTGGTTTGGTGGGGGCTTGAACAAAATTTGACAAAAACCATACATAAAGGATGAAAGTCAGATAAAGTAAAGAATATGTATCCTTTTCATGATGAAATGACCCTTTTAAAATCAATATTAGGGTATTTTCTTTTGACATGTGGTTAAATAGGCTTCAAATGTTTAATTTTTCAATTAACTTGAAGATATTAATCTTAAATGGATTATTACATGATAACGTGTGCTATTCTTTTTCATACTGGTGACAAAAATATCCTCGAAGGGTGAACCTGCTATTTTTGTCATAATGCTTGTGCTATATTGTCCACTGTGCACTAAATAAAGCTACATATGACAAATGAGAGCACATGCCTTGAACAATAAATGTGTGATTAGATTATATGTAGCGCTATCATTTGGATTGTTTTGAACACAACAAGTTTGGAGCTTTGTTCTTTTTCTTTAAGGAGGAAGTTGCTTGACGTACCTATACCTCTATATGGTTCAAGTGTTGGCCCTTCACATGACAATAAGTCCATATAAGTTTGCATAAGTTGGTTTTATTAAGTTTGTTTGTTTATTCTACTTTACTTTTGTTATGCATGTTTCTGTGTGTTTAAACTTGTTTTGTTCCTCAATGTCTGATCATGATGTTCATTTTGTAATCATCATATTCATTTTGTATTGTCGATTGTTTGTTTCAACAATAATCCTTATGACATACCCTTGGTGTTGTTTGTTGATGTCAACTTGCAGGGTTTTTGCTTGAAATTATGGCAAAGCTTCTGTATTACCATTGCAAGAGGGGAGGAAGAGGAGGGTTGGGCTCATCATATCTCTAAAGCATGTGCATGTGGTGTGTGGTTTGCTTTGGCTAAAGTATACCCACTTCTTTATACCTAAAAAAATTCATAGGCTTTCTAACATCCTATCATGCTTAGAAAGGTGGGCACGTGGATTTTATTCCTAAACCGTCCTTGCGTCCTCGTGGCATGCTTGTGTTTTGCAAACCTTTCTTGGAGAATAACAATAGAATATCATACAGTATATGATGAGCCTCTTCACCATTCCCCCAAAGGCATGCATGTCTTAAAATCACTCGATGGTGAGTTGAAGAGAGATTTGACCAGCTAACCCAAATTGGAAAGCGAATAATTCTTGGATTTTTTTTAGGTCTTAAGAATTATGTTGCATTCGTGGAGAACCCAAGCATTACAAAGGGAGGAAGAGGAACTCTCTCCATCTTCCCTGAACTTCTTTACCCTACTTCTACACTTTGTAGTTCCCTTTTTCATTTTCATATCTTTGTTCTTTCATCATCTCTCTGCCACCCAACATTTCTAATTTTAAATGAGGGGAGTTAGTAACAAGGGAAAATAGTCAAAAAGGCACAACAAATAGATATGATTATGATATGTGAAATCCAGGGTGGTTTATATCAAGAAAGTTAGAGTTTGATAAGGTGGGAGGTGACATGGAATTCGACTCATATAGCGGCCCAAATACTTTTTGCACTCCTACTGGTAGTGATTTTAAAGGTGATGTGTGTTTGCTAGTGTGCGTACTCTCATAATAAGAGTTGATATGAACTATATCATCAGACGGCTGCTATGCAAGATGTTTAAAATCATTGTTTTATTCAATAATGATTGGATGACCGTTTTTATTGCTTCTGATACTATAAGACCTCATGCAATATTCTTGCTCAAGCCGGAGCAGCGTTCCTTCATCTTTGTAGCACTCCTTTCAACTATCTTTTTGTGACAGTGGCACTTTAAATAAATATATCTTGTCGTTGTCTTCAATATCAACTTATAGACTTTCTCCACACTTGATTATTCCTATGACTTGTTGTGGATTTCTTCTTGCCTCTCACCATTCGTACAAAAATCTAGATTGAAATTTTTTTTGTTAATGCTCAAAAAAATTTGACTAATTGCAAATATTGAAAGAAATTTTGAAAATGTGGGTTTTGCTACTCTCATTGGATAAAAAAGTTGGTGAAGTAGATAATCTCTTATAAGGAAACTTGATAATGATGAGTGGTTGTGTTGGGGCGCTTGAAGTAGCAGGTTGTGGCGGCAGTGGTGAAATATCAATTAATGTTAGAGGCGGCGACACTAGGGCGTTGGTGAGAAATAGCAATTAATGTTAGAGGCGGCGACACTAGGGCGTTGGTGATGATCTCGAGGAAGATTGGGTGCTGCAAGAGGCAATGGAGGAAGAAGGCGACGACAAAAGCAGGAGGTGGTGACGACAACAAAAGCAGGAGGTGGCGACGGCGGGTATAGGAGGAGGGGGGGGGGGGGGACGACGGCGGCTATAGCAGCAGGCGACGGGGGCAACAACGATAGTAAGGATGGTCAGTGTATGTGTGGTAGGGAAGGCCATGTTCGAGAGGAAAGATCTTGCATGCAAAGATGCAAGGCAAAAACAACAAGTGGTGGTGTAAGCAGTAGGTGACACTCGCAATGGCGGCTACTTTGTTGGGGAATACAACTACCTAGGATGTCATCGTGAGGGAGGAGAGGGGAGATCATGCGTGCGTATGGGAATGTAGGCCGAGTGGTGCTGGTTTGAGTTAAGCATAAAAAAATCCCCTAACCATACATGGTGGAATACTCGATATATTTTAGGTGAGATTGTCAAATGTGTTGTGTACACCTCACCCGAGTCGCTTGGCACATGCGTCTCAAAATGTCTTTGGGCCCAATTGCGTTGAGATGCAACTCAAGTTGTGCAATTTTAAATTGTGCTTCTCATTTAACTTTCTCTCTTGCACAAGAAGTGGATGATTATTATGACTTGGCATATATGTTTTTTTGTGATATATGTATGTTTTGGCAAACAAAAATGGTATAAACAAATAAAATGAGAATTTTGATATTGATATGTACCATCAACAAAGTATTTAGCGGGAAATGACTACAGTCACTAAATCAAACCGAGAATAAGATCTGTGAGGGAAACATCTGTGTCATCCTAACTTGCTTTGAAAAAATTGAGATGCTTGGGGGCATGTACATAGAGATGGTAGGAATGGACTAAACTGGTAGCCAAAGTTATCATGATTGGAAGCTGTTTGAAAAGTTTAGCTAAAATTATTAAAGACAAATGCTTCTTTATGTAAAAACAAATGGTGAAAAAGTGAGGGTGGAAGCCTCAAAGAGTTTGATATCAAACCTACTAAAGATGATGGCAGCTTTGTTCATTAAAATTTATTATTTCTTATATTTATTTGTGTGCTCAAGTTATTGAACTTAATGAATGTTATTTTTGTTGGGTGAAAGAAATAATATTCTAAGAGGACATACGGTAGATAATCCAACTTGAAATTGTACTTCGATCACACATTGCATTCAATTTTTTTGCTACATTTCCAATGATTTCTGCATACGCGTGTTTTTACTCGTCAAAATGTTTTGTTCTGACTACTTTCTCCAGTGTTTTTTTGACACTCCAGGACTTATGATAGGACATCATGGATACCCTTACAGAACAGATGTTAAAGTTCGCGTTGAAAGTGCTTGGAGTACTATCAATTTGTATGAGTTGTTGATAGTTATCTTTGATGTCCATAGGCATATTGCCAAGTAATCATCCATACTACATTTACATTTTCATTTATTGTCATCTTATCTTCTCGAAATTGGCTTCTTTGAACAATCTAAGCTGTTGGTAGCTACTTCTTTTTGAATTGAAATCCTTGAATCCATATTTCTTTTTAATGTTTTAAATGTATATTAAAGTTATGTTTCACTTTTTAATTGATGCATGACTACTTTTCTTATCCATTTGAAATTGATTTGCCTAAATTATAGTCTCAATTTGATTGGGGTAGTGATGTAGTGTCCTTTTGTGCAGATCGGATACAAGGGTGATAAACTTAATTAAAAATCTTGGAGCTAATGCTCACCATAAACAAAAGCGTATTTTATGTATGAACAAGGTTGACCTTGTAGAAGATAAGAAGGACCTGCTAAAGGTTGCCAAAGAGTTTGAGGATCTTCCTGGTTATGAAAGGTCAGTTTTTGTTTCAAGTAATATATGTAAATCGTGTTGTCCTTTGATATTTATTTATTGTTTTAAGCTCATGCAGATACTTCATGATATCCGGGCTTAAAGGATCTGGTGTGAATGATCTTGTTCACTATTTGATGGACCAGGTGCAATCTTAATTAACAAGTTTTTAGGCTTTTCATATATTATTGTATCATTTTATGGAATTTTGCAATTGACTTCTTGTGACTGTCCATCAATCCTAATGCCAATATAACCAGAAAGACATCCTTTGACTCTTTTTTCACATTTTGTTCAAAAAGCTGGCAAAGTAATGTTTTGCATTGTTCGGCCGGTCAAGTATTAGCACCCTTGAAAGATGATATGATTAGGTTGACCTGATTCATAGATTCTGGTCAATATGGCCTCCTCTTTTTCATTGATATTTGTAAGAAGAGACAGCTTTTGGAAAGATGAAAGATTTGTCAAGCTGGCTTCTTTTTTCTAATACATTTTTTCGTGAAGATCAAGGTTAAAGATGTATGCAAACTGCTGTGATTAAAGATTTATGACTAGATTCCAAGAAAAATAAACGCAGAAGCTCCTTCAAAATGGACTTTTAGTATGGTTGATTTTGAGGACCTTAAAAAATCCAAACTAATCGGTTGTGCAATAAGGGAGGGATGGACCTTGGGTAAGTGCTTTTGAAATAAAGTGCGCCATTAATTTTTTTTAGTAATGTATACAAGGATTAGCTGTTCCTTGGTGGATATTTATCGCGTTGGAAGAACATTTTTTGTTGTTTGTTTGTTTAGGAGATATTTCTAGTTTCTTATTTCTATTGTATGCATCTGGTGCGCATTCTTAAGATTGATAAATAATAAATTTTGCTGATCAATGGTTATGTTTGTCAATGTTCGGTGTACTCCATCAGTTTTGAGTAGATGCGATTGGAAAAGTTTGTTACTACTTGTTGTCCTGCAAATAAACAAATTTAACCATCGTAGTAGATAGTTGTTTCTAATTTACCTATTTTGCTTATTTGTTTGGTAATTTTCTCTTTTTTAACTAATCTTTCTAAAGTCTAGCTAAAGATTTTGGAAAAATAATCTATTGATTTGATATTCTTAACACATTATACCACATTGTCAGATTATTCTAGTCTTTTCTTGGTTTATGTCATTAAAGTGATGAGCATGTTTCCTCGACTGTTTTCAACCTTGCAGGCAGTTAAAAGACCATGGGATGAAGAACCGAGCATGATGACCGAAGAGAGTATGAAAACTATTTCTCTGGAGGTTGTTAGAGAAAGGATGTTGGACCATATTCACCAGGTATTATCAACTTATATTGTAAGCAAAGGCGTTCTTTTTGAAAAACTACCATAAAACGACTCTTTTTTTAGGAAATTCCTTATGTTATTGAACATCGCCTGATGGATTGGAAAGAGTTAAGAGATGGTTCCCTTAGGGTGGAGCAACACTTCATCACCCCAAAGCAAAGCCAGCGACAAATTCTTGTTGGAAAAAATGGCTCTAAAATTGGGTAATTTTCTCTACTTTCCTTTCATTGTTCGATAATATTAGAGTAGTGGGTGTTTGTTTCTTATTATTATTATTTTTTATAACAGTATATAACTTTTTGTTTGGTTTTCCGCTGATGCTTCCCTGAGGACAAATTATATGCACATTAACCTTAAGCCATTACTGGTACTCGCATTTACTCATTCATTTTTGGATCATACGGCTTTGAATGCTTATGACATATACCTTCTTTCTGATTATGTACATATCAAAATTCTGATTCTGCTCCACCATAGCTGTGTTTGTTGTTCCTAGAGCTAAGTTTTAAATATTTTATGGCTTTTATGATTAAATGTGCAGGAGGATAGGCATTGAAGCCAATGAAGAGTTGCGGTCATTATTCAAGAGGGAGGTACATCTCATTCTCCAAGTCAGAGTTGCTCGAAAAAAGAATGCGTGAGGGCCGTTTGAATGAAACTGGTAAGTGGTCTTTATTTCTTTTAGTTGTTGAACATAAAAATTTTCTTCTTTTCTAGTTTGTGTACCTTTAGTTGAAATAGTACTAATAAATCATTTAGCTACTTTAACATTAAGAAAGTAATCAAAATGGTCTCCCAACTATTGCGAGGGGTCATTTTAGTACCAATCTATATAAAATATCTAATTTACTTCTTATACTCTTTAAATTAAAGCCAAAATAATCATGCTATTAAAAGCAATGGAAATTGAAGATAAATTAAAGACTGATGTTTGACATAAGGGTATTTTATGAATTTATATTATTTTTGAAATTTTAAAAATATATAATTTCCTACCTACCTTGTGTGGATATAATCTAAAGGTAGCATTCCAAATATTTCTTACTTTATTATCAGATGCTTTGTGATGAAATTAATACTCGTTAAATTTATAATTTTTTGCAAGTACTATTGAATTTTTCTTTTTGCAAAATATCCCAAATTTTATTATAAAAAAAGCTCATTCGCTAGATTTTATAAAAAAATTATGTTGTTTTCTAAAATACTTTTATTTTTAGCATTATCTGTTAAGCTTAAGTTCATTTTTTTTGTTACCTTGAAACTTTTAAAGACGGGATCATTTTGACCTTTATTTTAGGAGTCTGATGTTTAAGCTGGATCTCTTATATAGTTTGTGATTGTTACTGCTTTTCACAAATAATTGTGGAACTTGTTTTATCCTTCATTTGTTAATCCACAAAACTATTAACCAATTGAGATGCTTGTGAAGTGCTTCAATAAAAATGAAAAAGGGGTCAAAATGGTACCCTGCTCTTTGTAAGGGCCATTTTTATTCCCATTGTCTATAATAGTGCCAAAATAGTCCCTATGCTCTTTTAATGAGCACTGAAATAGGCCTTTGTAGGGACTATTTTATCCCATTTTGAAAGAGCATGGGGATTAATTTGGCATGAAACTAAAATTGCCTCTTGTAAATAGTCGGAATTATTTTGACACTTTACTCCTGTTAAAATTTTTATTCAGAAAAGTAAAGTTTAATGCAGTTGTTTGACCAATCAAGCATCTCAATAGCTGCTTAAATAAATGCGGTCCTCATCTAAACTATGAAATGAAATACTTCATTACCACGGAAGATTTTCAACTTTTGATTGCTCATTCGGCACAGTTTAAACATATGAATGGGCAGATGATGACATGAAGAATCTGGAGGTGGTGGAACAATTGACTTTGGGGAATAATGTAAATGCATGAGCTTAATATCTAAATGCTCCTTTTCAAATAGAAAACATTGGAGTTTGTTTTTCAAGCTAATTTTTTGTGAGTCCCTATAACTAATGCAGATGAATTTCTTGATATGTTGATTTGCGTCCTCCTTTTCGTACATGCACAAACTCAGTTACATATGAATTGACTTTATACAGAGGCTTCACTTTTAACACCTTGGAAACTCTGCATAGCCTTTGATAGAGTATCTGGACGAGTTACCAGCCCAACAGCAACCTTGCCCCTACTCAAGCCAACGCCAATATATGCATCATCCCCCTTGCATGCGGCCACTACAAGCTTAACTTTAATCTGTGCTTGGCCGTGCATTTTGTATGCTATGCAGATGGAAAAAATGCTTGTTGTAGTTTCACTATGACTGATTTGGAGGTTATTCGCACTTAATGCTACATGTTTTGGACCTTCAACATATTGAGACAAGACTCTTTGTTTGCTTGTTGATCACATGTTTGTATGCATTTTTCTGAAGTTTTTTTTTAAAAAATGGTGAAATATGCTATCTATTCCAGCACAAAGACTACATACATATTTTTATCATTACATTGAAATAATCTTAAACCTACGACCAACATCTTTTCATCTATAGCATTTTAATAACATTGACAACAGCTTTTATCTTTAATTTTCTAGTCCGTCATACAGCAATTCGTTCATCTATAGCATTTTAATAACATTTACAACAGCTTTTCATCTTTAATTTTCTAGTCCGTCATACAGCAATTCGTTGACAAACAACTTTTCATCCATAGCAATCTAGTAATTTGTGGACATTCATTGATGCCACTATTCCATTTCTGCCATGTTGTTAATTGTGAATTTTAGAATTAAAGATTGATTTTTAGAGTTGTTTATTTCCTTGATAGTTATTTATGTATCTATTTATCTTAAACTTTCAATTTTATTCTTATACAGAATTATGGAATAAAGTTTTCATACAAGATCTTATTTTCTACTCTCGGTTTTTCTCATTTTATTTTTCAAGATGGTATCATGGCCGTTAAGTTTGTAATCTCAGAGGCTGAAAGATTTTTCATCATGGAGTCCCTCCATAGTAATTAGTCCTTCACCAACACTATAATTCATTCTTCGTCTAACTAGAGTATTAAAGTATATGTGAAGAATCTTCTTTTGCGAAGATGATGGCAACTTATATTGAAAAGCTAGAGGTCAAGAAGTTGATAACTCTTATCATTGGAAATCAACTTCAAAATAAAAAAGTTATATCCAAAACATATAAAACTTATGATAAAATATTTGTACAAAAAATTCTAAAGAGAACTAACAATAAAGATAATCAAAATAGCTCTTCCTTGTTGTTTTTGTCATTCAGTAGCGAAATGAAGATAACCAGCTACCCTTCAAGTAAAAGCTTATTTTAAACATCGCCCAATTAAGCCTGGTTACACTGTAAGATAAATTCTCAGATGCCCTTACTGCAAATACAAAAAGAAAACAACCATTTGGATTGTAACCTTAGGAGTTTTAGATCATGTGATACTTGACAAAGATGAATTCCAACATTTCAGCTCATGCCTTGAAAATTATAATATGCAAATTGTAGATGGGTCACTATTAAAAATTGGTAGAATAGATTTTATCATTTTCTTAGAAGACCTGACACTTAACTTTATACTTTTAATCCAAGTGTCTCACCTGAATTATAACTTATAATCAATCAAAAAACACTAAAAATAATTTTTTTGTTGATTTCCCATTTAATCTTTATTAAATTCAAGCCTTAAATTTCGGGAGAATGATCAGCAATGCAGTGATGTGGTTTGGACTCTACCATCGAACTAATGATTCCTCAATTGAGGTATTTTGGCTTAAACAATGGATTGTGCGTCCATTAATTTTTTTACTTCAAATTACAAACATACGTCAAGCAATGGCGGTTAGGCTTGGGCGGTATTGCTAGGGCATCGAAACATTACTTGTTTTGAAAAGTTAATTCATTTTATATTCAGTAATAAAATTCCAAAGAATTTACTTCCTCAGATTTTTATTGAAAATTTGCCATATAACTAAACACACAGTTGCCATCCCAACTAGTCCTATAATCCTTCTAATTTTTTTCTTTAGTTCAAAATGATAGGCGGGAACTATTAAGGTTTGTGTATTTTTCTTGCTAGTTAGTTTAATTCCTTTCATCAACGGACATAGTTATCTTCAGGAATTCTTAATGAATGAAAATCCCATGCAAGGAAAACTTTTAATATTTCAATAATATAATTCACTCTCAATTTTAGACTAAAATTCAAGTCCTAAAAATCAACAAATCCAAAGGATACTTGAAAATGAGCTTGAGGAAATTATCTTCTATATCAAGGGATTCTCTACCTAAGATCTTGTGTTGACATAAAATAAATGGGATTTTTTAAAGAAGAATATGTATCTCTTAGAGATGGCTAGATCACTAATATTTTTATCAAATATTTTTAAGTATGATTGGGGAGTATCATCCTAACAACTACATTTCTCATTAATTTAACGCCTCCCATGGGTACTTAAATTCAAATTCATGTTTTTACTCCTTTCTATTCATTTTCCATGACCAGAATGTTTCCTTTGCTTCAAAACCTTTTGGATGTTCAGTCTTTTAGTAGCAGCACCAAAGAAAAATAGACCCCAAATCTATTAAGGGCATCTTTTTTAATACATCACAAATAATAATGAGTACAAATATATTTCTCCAATCACAAGAACAAAATTATAATTCCATTGGCATATTCTCATTCGACCTACTGAAATCTTAGCAGAACCATAAACTTACTCATAACCTTGTCAGCACTAAGAACAAAATTATAATTCCATTGGCATAATCGTTCTTGAACACTATTCTTATTACTCGAAAATTTTAAGTTTTTAAACTTATTTGATCATCCACCATCATCTCTTATCAAATCAATGGATTTGGAATATTTATTATTGTCCTTCATTCGACCTACTGAAGTCTTCGCAGAACCATAAACTTACTCATAACCTTGTCAGCACACTGAATTTGGAGAATGCGATCTATGTTTATATTAGGGGTGAAAAGAAAGACTAAGAATGGTAGCAATCAACATATCTCCAGCACACAGATGATATTAACAATTTAAGAGTTTGTTGGAAAACAGCTTAGCTAGGTTTGTTCTTTATTATTTTTTAAGATGAAGCACACAAAAACGCAACTTGGAGATGCAGTACTGATCAATCTCAATCAACACTCTCCCTGTACCTATTAACAACTCGGACATCATCAATGTATAGAACCCAACTTAGACTAAGTTTTGAATCAATTTTAAATCCATGACCAACACATTTCCATCTACAATCGCCCAATAATCTGTGGACATCTTTTCATCTAAGTCAAATCAAAAATCTATGACAAGCAGCTTCCCATCTGTAATTATGTAGCAATCCATGGACAACAGCTTCTCATCTGTAGCAATCTAACAATTAATGGGCAGTATGATTTTTTTTTAAAGTTAATTCTTGATTTCATAATCAAAGATTTATTTTTAGATTTGTTTCTTTTTTTTATAGTCATTTTTATACAATCTCTCATTTTTTGCTCTCTTTTTTAACATCCTAATTTTTAAGAAGACATGTAAAATTTAAAAAAGTTTATTTCCTTTGTTACATTTAAGTTGTTAATCCTATATGATCTAATTACCCAGCTGTACTTATCTGTGTGCTGCTCAATTGTGGGTGCTTATTCTTAGGATCATTGTTTCATCTGTTACTGTCATACATGAATATAATTCTCTTGCCGCGTATTTGACTTTGCATTTATTAACACTAAGAATAGCTTGATTTTCAAATTTATGCACTGCAAAAGGAGAAAATACTGGTCAAAAATCATTTTGCAAGCCATTCTTAGTTGTTATTCATGGGGAGTAGTATCTATGTCAAAATATGAAAGGTGCGTTGGTTTGAAGCAATACAATACTGATATAGAATATCTTAAGATGTATATATGAACCAAATAAATTACTAGAAAAAAACATTCAAGAAAAATAATATCATATAGTTATTATTATTGTAAGTAATTTATCAGTAAGAAAAACACACTTCTTGTATTCAAAACAATCACACCATTACTAATTCAAAAAACTAGCAAAAAAATTTTGTTCGTTTTAAGAAGCAAGTAAAAAAAAATTTATCTCATGTTCTACTCTTCCGAAAAGATGGATGCCACTTTATTTAGTACTTTTGTCGCTTGCACACGGTATTTCTACGTGCGTAGTACTGATGTAATATTTTTTCGTCAAAAATAATTTTGCAAGCCATTCTTAGCTGTTATTCATGGGGAGTAGTATCTATGTCAAAATATGAAAGGTGCGTTGGTTTGAAGCAATACAATACTGATATAGAATATCTTAAGATGTATATATGAACCAAATAAATTACTAGAAAAAAACATTCAAGAAAAATAATATCATATAGTTATTATTATTGTAAGTAATTTATCAGTAAGAAAAACACACTTCTTGTATTCAAAACAATCACACCATTACTAATTCAAAAAACTAGCAAAAAAATTTTGTTCGTTTTAAGAAGCAAGTAAAAAAAAATTTATCTCATGTTCTACTCTTCCGAAAAGATGGATGCCACTTTATTTAGTACTTTTGTCGCTACATTGTAATTTATACTCTCTAAGGGAGAGAGAGAGAGAGAGACCATTAAATTTTAGCTTAAGTGGTATTCTCTTTGGTTCTTAGGGTAAAAGGTAATATGTTGGATTTCTTATTGTGACCTTTAAAATGAATCTAATTCTTCCCATTAATAAAATGTTTGGGATAAATCTATATGTACATATACTAAAATCCAATATTTATTTGCACCACACTTAAATCTTTTCTTTTAATTTTACATGGCTTCCCTATTCCATCCTTGTTCTCTTGCAAGCTATTTCCATAGAGTGAAAATGCTCGAGTAAGCTCTCACTTATGATCTCTCTCTACTAAGTCCTATTTTCTCATTTGTTAGCTATTTTTTTCACTGTATTTGTCATTCGGTTCACCAACATTGGACCATAAAAAATCACTAGGTGCGTGCCCCTTTCTTTAAGTAAATATTTATAAAAATCATTAAATTAGTTGATTCCTGGTTCCAACTGTAATTCCAATCCAAATTGGGGCAGTGTAGTGGGTGGTTATAGTTGGTATATTTGAAAATTGTTCAAATTTAATGAGTTTTAAATACAGCCAAAATAAACTACTAACTGCATTTAAATTTCATTGTAATTTTATACCAATTTCTTTTATAGCCGACCGAACAGCCAAAATTTGGAATCTCTTAAGAAGTACATACAATGTAAAAGTAATATGCTGCATTTGGAATAATATCAATTTGTTTGGTTCAGTATAAAATAAATACAGTATTATTTATTTATTTATTTTAAGGAAATTCAATCTCAAAT